CCAAAAATCAAAGTTCCTCCCATTCGTCTTGCATCTGTCTAACTTTCGTTACGTTGTCATCAAGACTAACAGTGATTTACCATCTCTAAAGTCGCTCTGGCTGTTATTTATGAATCTGGGTGATGAAATGTTGAATAAGTCGAGTTCAAATGATGCATTGTTGGTGAGTGAAGAGAAATGGTGACGCGGAGTCAACAAGAGGTAGTGGTGATGAAGCACAGTGTAGGAATGGTGGAGGGTGAGTAGGAGAGACTGAGGAAGAGAATGATGTAGTATTGGCGAGGACAAGTGGCTCTTGTGGAGAGTGTTACTGACAGGTAAGGGACGGGGGGGGGGGGTGTTGTGAGTGTTTTAGTAAAAAGGAATGATATTAATTTACCGTGTTGGTGTCTGTGTTAAAAATGTGCAAAAATGGAGCTTCAAAGTATTTGGTAGGGATGGTAAATCATGTGTTTTCTATGAGTAGCAGAGAGAGATGTAGCAGAGTTTTGGTGCCAAAGAAGTTATTTATAAAAGCACCATTTTTTGGGAGAATATTTTCTTATAGTCAAACACAATCAAAAACTTCATAGACACATAGTGAAAAGGTAAAAATTATAACATTAAAAGAGGCAATATAAATATTATATATATAATATATATTATATATATATTATTTTATATATATATATATATATATATATATATATATATATATATATATATATATATATATATATATATGCAATAAGATCACAATTAACAGGTGATTTTAGAATATGCAAAACAACCACTGTGAAAGAATAACGAAATTCCAAGCGTTTTCGTGACTACTCACATTATCAAGGAGCAATATAAGTAATGCACCCAAGGCATATGAAGGGTCTAGACCACACCTCACCATCACATCCCACAACAAAGCAACACCTGACGCGCGACTCATAAGAAAGAGAACACTGCAGCAGGCCCGCTGGCCCAAATAGACAGGTCCTCCACGCAACCCACAACCCACAACCCCATGAATTAAGATTTATTATTTGTCCAATGTTCTCTTTCTTATGAGTCGCACGTCAGGTGTTTCTTTGTTGTGGGATGTGATGGTGAGGTGTGGTCTAGACCCTTCATATGCCTTGGGTGCATTACTTATATTGCTCCTTGATAATGTGAGTAGTCACGAAAACGCTTGGAATTTCATTATTCTTTCACAGTGGTTGTTTTGCATATTCTGAAATCACCTGTTTACTGTGATCTTATCTATATAATATATATATATTATATATATATATATATATATATATATATATATATATATATATTATATATTATATATTATATACATATATATATATATATATATGATACCTGGATACCTGGAGAGAGTTCCGGGGGTCAACGCCCCCGCGGCCCGGTCTGTGACCAGGCCTCCTGGTGGATCAGAGCCTGGTCAACCAGGCTGTTGCTGCTGGCTGCACGCAAACCAACGTACGAGCCACAGCCCGGCTGATCAGGAACTGACTTTAGGTGCTTGTCCAGTGCCAGCTTGAAGACTGCCAGGGGTCTGTTGGTAATCCCCCTTATGTGTGCTGGGAGGCAGTTGAACAGTCTCGGGCCCCTGACACTTATTGTATGGTCTCTTAAAGTGCTAGTGACACCCCTGCTTTTCATTGGGGGGATGGTGCATCGTCTGCCAAGTCTTTTGCTCTCGTAGTCAGTGATTTTCGTGTGAAAGTTCGGTACTAGTCCCTCTAGGATTTTCCAGGTGTATATAATCATGTATCTCTCCCTCCTGCGTTCCAGGGAATACAGGTCTAGGAACCTCAAGCGCTCCCAATAATTGAGGTGTTTTATCTCCGTTATGCGCGCCGTGAAAGTTCTCTGTACATTTTCTAGGTCGGCAATTTCACCTGCCTTGAAAGGTGCTGTTAGTGTGTAGCAATATTCCAGCCTAGATAGAACAAGTGACCTGAAGAGTGTCATCATGGGCTTGGCCTCCCTAGTTTTGAAGGTTTTCATTATCCATCCTGTCATTTTTCTAGCAGATGCGATTGATACAATGTTATGGTCCTTGAAGGTGAGATCCTCCGACATGATCACTCCCAGGTCTTTGAAGTTGGTGTTTCGCTCTATTTTGTGGCCAGAATTTGTTTTGTACTCTGATGAAGATTTAATTTCCTCATGTTTACCATATCTGAGTAATTGAAATTTCTCATCGTTGAACTTCATATTGGTTTCTGCAGCCCACTGAAAGATTTGGTTGATATATATATATATATATATATATATATATATATATATATATATATTATATATATTATATATATATATATATATATATATATATATATATATATATATATATATATATATATATATATATATATATATATATATATATATATACTACACACACAAACACACACATATATTATATATTATATATATTATATATATATTTATATATATATATATATATATACATACATATATATATATATATATATATATATATATATATATATATATATATATTTTTTTTTTTTTTTTTTTTTTTTTTTTTTTTTTTTTTTTTTTTTTTTTTTTTTTTTTAATATATAGGATGGGGTCCACCTCTGGTGTAATATTATCTGGTGTAATATATATATCTGGTGTATATATATATATATAATATATATATATATATTATATATATTTTATATATTATATATATTTTATATATATATATATATATTATATATATATATATTTATATATATATATATATATATATTATCACACCGGCCGATTCCCACCAAGGCAGGGTGGCCCGAGGAAGAAAAACTTTCACCATCATTCACTCCATCACTGTCTTGCCAGAAGGGTGCTTTACACTACAGTTTTTAAACTGCAACATTAGCACCCCTCCTTCAGAGTGCAGGCACTGTACTTCCCATCTCCAGGACTCAAGTCCGGCCTGCCGGTTTCCCTGAACCCTTCATAAATGTTACTTTGCTCACACTCCAACAGCACGTCAAGTATTAAAAACCATTTGTCTCCATTCACTCCTATCAAACACGCACACGCATGCCTGCTGGAAGTCCAAGCCCCTCGCACACAAAACCTCCTTTACCCCCTCCCTCCAACCTTTCCTAGGCCTAACCCTACCCCGCCTTCCTTCCACTACAGACTGATACACTCTTGAAGTCACTCTGTTTCGCTCCATTCTCTCCACATGTCCGAATCACCTCAACGACCCTTCCTCAGCCCTCTGGACAACAGTTTGGTAATCCCGCACCTCCTCCTAACTTCCAAACTACGAATTCTCTGCATTATATTCACACCACACATTGCCCTGAGACATGACATCTCCACTGCCTCCAGCCTTCTCCTCGCTGCAACATTCATCACCCATGCTTCACACCCATATAAGAGCGTTGGTAAAACTATACTCTCATACAGTCCCCTCTTTGCCTCCAAGGACAAAGTTCTTTGTCTCCACAGACTCCTAAGTGCACCACTCACCCTTTTCCCCTCATCAGTTCTATGATTCACCTCATCTTTCATAGACCCATCCGCTGACACGTCCACTCCCAAATATCTGAATACATTCACCTCCTCAATACTCTCTCCCTCCAATCTGATATCCAATCTTTCATCATCTAATCTTTTTGTTATCCTCATAACCTTACTCTTTCCTGTATTCACATTTAATTTTTCTTCTTTGCACACCCTACCAAATTCATCCACCAATCTCTGCAACTTCTCTTCAGATCTCCCAAGAGCACAGTGTCATCAACAAAGAGCAACTGTGACAACTCCCACTTATGTGTGATTCTTTATCTTTTAACTCCACGCCTCTTGCCAAGACCCTCGCATATACTTCTCTTACAACACCATCAATAAATATATTAAACAACCACGGTGACATCACACATCCTTGTCTAAGGCCTACTTTTACTGGGAAATAATTTCCCTCTTTCCTAATACTCCAACTTGAGCCTCATATCTCGTAAAAACTCTTCACTGCTTTCAGTAACCTACCTCCTACACCATACACATGCAACATCTGCCACATTGCTCCCCTATCCACCCTGTCATACGCCTTTTCAAAATCCATAAATGCCACAAAGACCTCTTTAGCCTTATCTAAATACTGTTCACTTATATGTTTTACTGTAAACACCTGGTCCACACACCCCCTACCTTTCCTAAAGCCTCCTTGTTCATCTGCTATTCTATTTTCCGTCTTACTCTTAATTCTTTCAATATTAACTCTACCATACACTTTACCAGGTATACTCAACAGACTTATCCCCCTATAATTTTTGCACTCTCTTTTGTCCCCTTTGCCTTTATACAAAGGAACTATGCATGCTCTCTGCCAATCCCTAGGTACCTTACCCTCTTCCAAACATTTATTAAATAAGTGCACCAACCACTCCAAAACTATATCCCCACCTGCATTTAACATTTCTATCTTTATCCCATCAATCCCGGCTGCCTTACCCCCTTTCATTTTACCTACTGCCTCAGGAACTTCCCCCACACTCACAACTGACTCTTCCTCACTCCTAAAAGATGTTATTCCTCCTTGCCCTATACACGAAATCACAGCTTCCCTATCATCATCAACATTTAACAATTCCTCAAAATATTCCCTCCATCTTCCCAATACCTCTAACTCTCCATTTAATAACTCTCCTCTCCTATTTTTAACTGACAAATCCATTTGTTCTCTAGGCTTTCTTAACTTGTTAATCTCACTCCAAAACTTTTTCTTATTTTCAACAAAATTTGTTGATAACATCTCACCCACTCTCTCATTTGCTCTCTTTTTACATTGCTTCACCACTCTCTTAACCTCTTTTTTTCTCCATATACTCTTTCCTCCTTGCATCACTATATATATATATATATATATATATATATATATATATATATATATATATATATAATATATATATATATATATATATATGTATATCCGAAGGAGACTCGAACCTACGAACCTTGGAACAAGGTACGTAGTGCTATACCATTCTCACCACACTGGACAATACTTTGGCGCCTAGCACAATGCTAGACGTTGATCCAAGGCAGTCAGCTTTCAGGAGAAGGATTACAGCTTTTCATCTCATCCCCTGCATGCATCAGCCTTACAAGAGATTTTAACAATGCAAGGAATTCGCAAGAGCAGGCGAAATATATATATATATATATATATATATATATATATATATATATATATATATATATATATATATATTATTATATATATATTGTAACCACGGACGAGTGGTTCTTGATTACCATGAGGCAGGCCAGTACAACATGGGTTCTAATCCTATATCATTATGTTGAGCCGAGTGCTACACTGATCTTGAATAATTTCTGTTCTGCATGTACTCTACGCCTTAATAAAGAAATTAATGAAGGCAGTTTATTTGTTAAGCTTATCGTTGGGGGTAAAGCAGTGGCATAGAGAATATGAAGCAGTGAGCTTCGTAAGGGCCATTGTAATGTTGTTGTCATTATATTATCCAGATTCACTCTTCCTTCATTCACAGTTTTATATTGCAGACATTACCTGGAGACCTGGAGTTTACCTGGAGAGGGTTTCGGGGGTCAAAGCCCCCTGGGCCCGGTGTGAGACCAGGCCTCATGGTGGATTAGGGTCTGATCAACCAGGCTGGTCGCACGGAAGCTGTTGTACGAACCACAGCCCAGTTGGTCAGGTACTGACTTTAGGTGCCTGTCCAGTGCCTTCTTGAAGACAGCCAGGGGTCTTTTGGTAATCCCCCTTACGTATGCTGGGAGGCAGTTGAACAGTCTTAGGTCCCGGACACTTATTGTGTTGTCTCTCAGTGTACTCGTGGGGCCCCTGCTTTTCATTGGGGAAATGTTGCATCTCCTGCCGAGACTTTTGCTTACATAGGGAGTGATTTTTGTGTGCAGGTTTGGTACCAATCCCTCTAAGACTTTCCAAGTGTATATTATCATGCATCTCTCTCGCTTGCGTTCGAGGAAATACAGATCAAGGGCCTTCAACCGTTCCCAGTAGTTTAGGTGCATTATCGTACTTATGTGTCCCGTGAAAGTTATTTGTACACTCTCTAGGTCTGCAATGTCGCCAGCCTTGAAGGGGGCCGTTAATGTACAGCAGTATTCCAGCCTAGAAAGTACTAGCGATTTGAAGAGAATCATTATGGGCTTGGCGTCCATGTCCGCATGGAGTCTCGCGGAGTCTTCGATGGAGGTCATTGCCATGGTAATCCGGGTGTCATCCGCAAAGGAAGACACGGAGCTTTGGCTTACATGTCTGTCTATGTCAGAAATGAGGATGAGGAATAGAAGGGGAGCGAGTACTGTGCCTTGTGAAACAGAGCTTTTTATTGTGGCTGCCTGAGATTTTACTCTGTTTACTATTACTCTTTGTGTTCTATTTATCAGGAAGTTGTAGATCCATCTACCAACTTTTCCCATTATTCCTTTATCACGCATTTTGTGTGCTATTACACCATAGTCACACTAGTCGAAAGCTTTTGCAAAGTCTGTGTATACTACATCTGTATTTTGTTTATCCTCTACAGCATCCAGGACATCGTCATAGTGGTCCAGTAGCTCGAACAGGCAGGAGCGACCTGCTCTAAACCTGTGTTGCCCTGGGTTGTGTAACTGATGGGTATCTAGGTGGTTGGCTATCTTGGTTCTTAGAACCCTCTCAAAGATTTTTATGATATGGGATGTTAGTGATGTCGGTCTGTAGTTCTTTGCAATTGTTTTACTGCCACCTTTGTAGAGTGGGGCTATGTCTGTTGTTTTTAGTGTGTGTGGGATGACCCCCGTGTCCATGCTCCCTCTCCATAAAATGCTGAAGGCACGCAATAGGGGTTCTTGCAATTCTTGATGAACACGGAGTTCCACGAGTCTGGGCCTTTGGCAGAGTGCGTGGGCATGTCATTAATTGCCTCTTCAAAGTCTTGTGAAGTTAGAATAATATCCGAGATTTTTGGGATGACCATATTTTGGGTTTCGTTCGTAAGGAATTCATTTGAATTGTCGATCCTTAGTTTAGGCAGTGGCTCGCTGAACACTGAGTCATATTGGGACTTTAATATCTCACTCATTTCTTGGCTATCATCTGTGTATGTCCCATCATGCCTAAGCAGGAGCCCAATACTGGATGTTGTTTTTTTTTTGGGATGGTCAAAGGTGCATGTCCCACAGCAGGTACTCAACAGTGGGAGAACACTTTCTAGTTGCGTAAACGACAACGAATCCAGCGCCTTCAAACAAGTCAACACTAGTGTGGCATTCAAAACCATGTTCGAGCTGTCCCGACCCAACGCCAGCCATCATCACAATACAGAAGCAGGAGAATACAAGATCCCAGGCAGTGCGTGCTCTAGTCTCATCACTGCGACACAACACAACCTTCATACACAAGTATGAATGTAAACCTTATAACCAGAAGAGCGCGTGCTTTATAGACAGAGGCAAACATGCAGTTCTCATGGCTAGATACCTGCAGAATACGTCATTAAGAAAAACCAAAAGGTTACAAGACGCCGTTTTAGATCAAATATCATACAGATCTCCAAAACTATAGATGAGGATCAAGCGACATATGATGTTGGTTAAAACAATTGTTTTTATCTTCTTGAAGAAAAACTTCCAACAGGGTGATTCCTACAGGTGATTCCATCTACCATGGAAATCACTGCTACGCTTACAATGACTACAATGATTCAAGTTTTAAAAAGGACAATAGAATTGTTAAATGGGGAAGAAATGAAACAACTCGCTTCACCAATGACCTGTTAAAATGTCCTTTTCATTACTCATGATATGACTGATGAAGCTATCCTGTGTGGTGAAACATTATCTAACTTATACAGTATCTCATCCCCTAGAGCAATTTTAAATTTTGCTACGATACAATTTATACAAAAAATCGTAGTGTTTACACCATTCAAGGACCCGAAATGTTAGTTCTTACTTTTGTAAACACAATTAGGAAACAGCAAACACAAAATTATAGTGGTATGAGATCGAGAATAGACAAAAAAAATAAAGGGTTTAAACGTGAGAAGATTTCCCTATGCGTTGATAGCACAAAGGAAACAGGTTGAAGCGTAAAACATAGGTCCCCCGTCGAAGTTTGATAGTTGAGGTTAATCTGGGTAAGGTTCAGGGCAGCAAGAGTGTAAGGGGTGATGTTTTTAGCCGCCGTGAACCCGAACAAGTCAAACTCTCCGTTGGATTTTGTAATTGACTGTGCCTCGTCATTTGCTTCATTAGGTCAGCTGAACATGAAAGAATTCACTTGGGTTACATGTTATAAAGTTCGTTATTGACAGAAATGGTTGTAGTGCTGTGATTTCGTTGACAAATTCACCTGCTGAGGAGGTGTTGCTGTCAAGGGAAAGTTTACACAGAAAGATGTTGCTAAACAGCACCATTAACCAAAAACTATTATAAAAGTGAAGCTGTAAAAATTAGTATGATAATAACAGCTGATTAAGTACCCTTTGAAAAACAGGTGCTCCTTGTAGATTAAAAACCTTTTAAACGTACAAAAGGAAAATTGACCACTTTGTACAACTTTGGGTTTATTTATGAGGAAACGTTTTCGCCAAGTCTTCCCTAATTCATGGGCCGACCTCTTCAACTTTTGAACAATTGTTACAGACTGACTGTTTGCGCCCCCCTCCTGCCAACGGTTTTTATAAGCTCTTTCCAGTTCGTAGCCGTATTCTATTCCAAAGATTAAATGGACTGACAACAATATGGACTCAAGTTGAGGGACTGTAATTACCTTCATTCTCCCCCTGTTCTTAAGATTCCCCTTTGTATGGGACTGATGAGCCACTTTTGTGGGGGAAACTTTTCCCTAAAATAAGTACCAAGAGTTGACAGTGTCAAAATTTATCAAAACAGTCGGTTCTGAACCATTCATCTAAAAAAGATGAGAGCCATGTCGGTATATGCGTTTAAAGTAACGTCCACATGACCAGTGCTTGTAGTCTATTAGGCTAAACCTTTAAGAAAAAAGATTTTATTATTACTTAATCTTTACCTAAAATTTAGTTGAACGTTCTTTGTCTTCCTTCTCGAGGTTTGAATAATAAGTTTAAAACTTCATCTCAAATACTGATATATTAATTGTCTGTTATTTAATCGTTTTTTGAAACGTGTTTTTTTGACCCCAGTTTTACAGAAAATCACTTGAAATTGATTTAAATTTAATTTTATTTTTTTTTCCCTTTTCAGCATGAAATAAATTATCTCATTCGAGTTAAACATTTGCAGCTTCACTTTTATAATAATATCCGATACAAAATTTATATTTAATTTTTTCATTTACGTTGACCAGTGACCCGGTTCACAACGCACACACAAAAACATACACACACACAAAACACCACACAACACACAACACACACATCACACAAAACACCACACACAACACACCACACAAACACTTACATGCAACACACGCCATCCACACCCCACACACACACAAAACACACACACACACACCACACACAAAACCCCCACACACACACACTAAAAAAACAACTCACACACCACACACACCACAACACACACAACACACACACACACCAAACACACACACACACAAACCACTACCCCACACACACACCATCATCAAAATCCCAAACTTTTCAGCAACGGGAATCCGGACAAGAGAGAGAGAGGGTGGGTGGTTTGATTTCTTGGACTGCAAGAATGCCTTTGAACACATTCCACACAAGAGATTAGTGAAAAAAAACTGGAGGACCAGCAGGGAAAACAGGGAAGGCACTACAATGGATCAGGGAATACTTTTCAGGAAGACCGCAGCGAGTCTGGTACGTGGCGGGGTGTCAGAGTGGGCACCTGTGAAGCGGGGTCCCCCAGGGGTCAGGTCCTAGGACCAGTGCTGTTTCTGGTATTGGTGAACGAGGGGATGGATCTAAGCAGTCTTTTGCAGCAGTAATTTCAGGCCATCATGGTGTCTGGGAGATGATTAATGAAACAGCAAAGGAGATGCTTAAATCAGATCCAGAGAGCAGAGGAAAAGAAATGGGAAAGGGCGGAGGAGGGAGAGGTCAATATTATTAATGGGTTCAGGAGAGGGAGAAAAGGGCAGCCTGGGTGAGAAAAAAAGAATGGGAGAAAAACAGGATTAAGAAATCATTGCAATAACAGGAGAAAGGGACATGTCTCAGGTAGAAAATTTTCACGACTTGGGGGGTATTCGAGGGAAAAAAATTAGCCCAAAATCAGATTGACATTAAAGACAATTGGTACGGAACAGGATACTACAACAGAAACCAATGTTAAAGGACTCTCCAGATTATCAAAAAGTGTTCCTCAATCGAGGCAGAACACAAAGGAAAGGGAACAACTGAAAGTGAGAGCAAGACAGAACCAGTGGAAGAAAGAGAGATAAGACAGGCAAGATGACAGGAAAACTCAGCCTTTGGGGGAAAAATCAAACAATAATTTTTACAGAAACCTCTCAACCCCTGTCAAAACCACATTATCAACCAAACACAGTTTAAAAAGAAAAACATTCACTCCATAGCCCCATCCCCCTAGCACTAATTCGGACAATCACAGCAGCTTCCCTATATTGTGCCCTGCTCCCACCTCCCAGCTGCACCTTCCTCTTCCATCTCCCAAAATACGTAATGGAAAGGGAAACTAAAGGTATTGGTACACCAATGCAGATGGATAGCAAATAAGAGTGAAGAGTGGCAAAAACGCATCTTGATGGCTTTTATCCTGACATCATAGCATAACAGAGACAAAACTTACGGATGATAAACAGATGCAATTTTTCCACCTGGACATCAGATTAAGAGGAAAGGACAGAGAGAACAGAGGAGGGGGAGGAAATAGCATTTCACAAAAAAAAAGTGGAGTTTGAGGAGATGGGAGGAATGGAAAGAAGGGAAACAGAAAGACTTCATTGTAGGAACACTTCAACTGGTGGTTCAAAAGTGATGATAGCAGTGATGTATAACCCACCACTTAACCGTAGGGAACAAGAGAAGAGTTGATGTGCGCAAAAAGGGCAATGGTGGATACACTAGCTGAAGTGGCCAGGAGGGTCATATGGGTAGGACAAAAATTTCTTATAATGGGGGATTTCCAATCATAAAGAGATTGACTGGGAAAACCTACAAACCACATGGGGGACCAGAAACATGGAGGAGCTAAGATGTTGGAGACTGTATTGGAGAACTTCATGCATCAACATGTAGGAATACAACCAGAGAGAGGGGTAGAGGAAGTTGCAGCAAGGCTGGATCTCATATTCACCTTGAATAGTTCAGACATAATGGATGTCACCCACGAAAGACCCTTTGGCGCTAGTGGGTCATGTGTCCTGAGTTTTGAAAATCTTGTTGAGTTAACAGTTTGGAGAATGCAGCAGCACGAGGGGAAAAAAGAGAGAAACCAAACTTCAGAAAAGGGGACTACATGGAATGAGAAGTTACCTGCATGAGTGAGTGGGAAAGAGAACCCAAATGGAAAGACAGTAAATGAAATGATGGAAATAGTAACCACTAAGTGCAGGGAGCAGAGGAAAGGTTCATACCGAAGAGCAACAGAAAAAATGGTAAGACCAGAAATGAGCCCATGGTTTAATTAGTGGTGTAAAGAGGCCAAAAGCCAAATGTGCGAGAGCATGGAAAAGGTATAGAAGGCAAAGGACTCAAGAAAATAAGGAGCTGAGCGAAGAACCAGGGAAAAAAAAAATGCAAGGATAAGGAAGGGGGGCCCAGAGGCAATACGAGAACGAAAAATGCATCAAAAGCCAAATCTGAACCAAAATTGTTATACATCACAAATTGGAGAAAAACAAAAAGTTTAAGGACCAGGTAATTAGGCTGAGGAAAGAAGGAGGGGAGCTCACGAAGAGTGACCAAGAAGTATGTTGAACTAAACAAAAGATTTTTGAGAGGTATTCACAATAGAGTCAGGAATGTTCCAGCAAACTGTGGAGGTAGGGTTTCACCAGCAGGTTCTGGAAAACAATACACATAACCAAGGTAGAGGTGAAAAAACTGCTAGACGAACTCGATACCTCAAAGGCGGTGGGCCCCCCGATAACATATCTCCATGGATACTGAGAGAGGGAGCAGAGGAACTGTGTTTTACCATTAGCAGCAATCTTCAGTAAAAACTATCGAAACAGGGGGAGTTGCCTGAGGCGTGGACGACACCACATGTAGTTCCAATTTTTAAGAAAGGGGACAGACAGGCAGCATTAAACTACAGACCAAATGTCACTGACTTGTATGTATGTAAAGTCATGCAAAAGATTATCAGGAGAAAAGTAGTGGAACACATTGAAAAGATTGGGCCATACATGACAGTTTAGCACGGCTTCAGAGATGGGAAATCCCATGTCACAATTTACTTGAGTTCTACGATAAGATAACAGAAGTAAGACAAGAGAGAGAGGGATGGGTAGATTACATCTTTTTAGATTGCAAGAAGGCTTTTGACACAGTACCACCAAGAGAATGGTGCAAAAAATTTGAGGAGCAGGCAAAAATAACGGGGGAAAGTACTGCAATGGATCAGGGAAACCCGACAGGAAGGAAACAACGTGTGCTGGTACGTGTGAAGAGTCGGAGTTGGGCGAATGTGTCGGTTTGGGGTTTCCACAAGGGTCAGTCCTAGGCCCGGTGCTGGTTCTTGTATACGTGAAAGACATGGTGGAAGGAATAGATTCAGAAGTGGGCACTGTTGGCTGATGATGTGAAACTGATGAGGAGAAATACAAGTGAGCGAGGATCAGTTAAAATTACAAGGGGATTGGACAAACTACAAGTAGGTCCGACAAATGGCTCCTGGAGTTTAACCCCCGTAAGTGTAAGGTCATTTAAGATTGGGGAAGGGACACAGAAGATCGCAGACGGAGTAAAAGGTTAGGAAAACCAACGCTGCAAAGTCAGTTTAAAAAGAAGGATCTTGGGTAAGCATATAACGAACATATCCCAGGCACACAACAATCAATAACTGCTGCAGCATATTGGGGATTGGCAAACCTGAGATTGGCGTTTAGACATCTGAGTAAGGAGTCATTCACGACATTGTACACAGTTTGCGTAAGGCCTATACTGGAATATGCAGCGCCAGTATGGAACCCTCACTTAGTCACACACGTCACGAAATTAGAGAAAGTGTAAAAATTTGCACCACGATTAGTCCCGGAACTGAGGGGTATGTCTTATGAGGAGAGGTTAAGGGAACTCAACCTGATGACA